TGGTCGCAATCGAAAGCTTGCATCCACATTGTATAAGAAAAGTGCCGTTAGATTTTTGATTAACGGCTTGGTTCCTGAGGAATTTTAATCGAAAGTTTATTAGACGTAAAACTTCGGATAAGCTACTTGGTAGCGTCGTGGCCCCTGTACATAGGCAACATAGGCAAACCGTTGACAAGCTGAAACGTTTTTTTTTTATATACTTGGAGTCGCGACGCTACCGCGTTGCTTGATATAAAAGATAACAACATTAAAATTAATAATTAAAAATTAAAATATATTAATCACGAAAGGCGGACGTTTCGGCCCTATTTGGGGGCCATCTTCAGCGCACAAAATTAAAATTAAGGTTACATACAAAATAAAACTCTTAAATGGCTAAGCGCATAATTACGCATAAGTAAAAAAAAAAAAATAAGTGACCGTTTGCGGACTATTTTATACTCTTTGACAGGCTTCATTACGCGGCTGAATTTATTTCCTTTTAAATTCAATATGATAGGCATCACCGCAAACAGTCCATAAATCAATAAACACTCCCAGACACATGGGGTAACACATTTAATGCTACTCTGCGGTCGACCAGCCTTGCGATTAGCGTGCTGAGAACACGTATGGGATACGATCGGCCGGGACCGCCGCAACACGATGCACGACCGCCGTACGTGTTTAAGATTTATTTTAATGAAACTTTCGGCTTCTTCTCCTTCTCTTCCGCGATCGCGCATTCCACGTTGTGCTGTGACCTCTAGACTAGCGGTACTCGGCTAGGGGGCCTCGTAATGACGACAGAATTTTACTTATTAGTAACTTGTCACTTTATAGATACAAATTGCGAACTAAAAACTATGATATTATCTACTACTAAATCTTTAACAAAAATTCATACTGCCCAAAATGTAGCCAATGATTTATTGGACATTTTTAAAGAATGGAATTAATGAAAGTTACTTGCATCGTAACAGATAATGTCATAAATATGATTAAAATATATGAAATTTTAAAGAAGCATCTTCCATGTTATGCACACACTTTAAATTTAGTGTTGTGCAAGATAATTTAAATTTAGATTGTATAAAACATATCATAAATAAATGTAAAAAAATTGTAAGATTTATTAAAAATGGTTCGGTTGCAACGAAAACTTTTAAACAAGAGCACAAAAATGAGTTGGAAGATATCACAAAAAATTCATACAAACTAGTTCAAGAGATACATTATTCCAAACTAATGAGGATAGAAGAGAAAGCAGAACTCCTAGTTAGGAACTATTGGCTAAAAATCTGTATAGTAATAAAGAATATCCCGAAGATATCTTTGAGAAATACAATATCTTCGCAATGTTCTCTGAACGTGGGGCCCACGATAAACAAGACACAGAGATCGAGATTGACAAGTTTTTGAGTTGAATTTAATGATTGGCTTTGTGATTATATATGACGTTGAAAATTTGGAATGTTTTTCTTGTATGTTGAAATATTATTCCTTATATACGCTTGTTATTGATATTATTGATTGTTTGATTGCTTTATTGATGTTATTCTTGAGCGTGCACGATTATTATGAATTGACGATATTTTGGCTTTTGTTATTAACGCATATTTGAACTTCTTTCGCTTATTTGATTCTTTGTATTATTATTATCACGTTTCTTTGATCGATTTTCGAAAATATTGAACTTTTGCTAAAATTATTAGAATCCCGTTGATTTAACTTAATAATTATAAAAATTTTATTAGTCAGATAATTTGTTTAATTGCTGCCTTGATTATTGAGAACCTTTAAGAGATAATTTATTCTACTTATGTAAAATTAATTTTCGCTACCTCTTTTCATATCTTTTTGAATTTAAATTGAGAATATTAAAGCATGTATTTATTGAGCACGTATTATTGAATTTTCATATATATTGTGTACTAATCACTTTCTTATAAGATATTGTTTAATATTGTATTTCTCGTGTTCCGCCGATCTTTTGCGTGAGATTTTCGTAAAATTTAAGTGCGCGAGAAGGATCTGTGGAATTTCGCGTGTTATATTTTGCGTGTTGAATTTTTTGAATTCGGTTATTATCCCATTACGGGAAAGAGAGAGGAAATATTGCAAGAAATAATATATAATTTAGTTTTTAAAATTTATCTTGTTCCTCTTTATTATCTTGTTCCTCCCTAAAATTATTCTTAAAGAGATGACAGATATTTAATATATCATTAACATAAATATTAACGAAAATTATATAGACGAGATAATAGAAAATTTATATAGATTTTAAAAAGTATCCTATATTACACCTAAGTCTGTCGAGATCGGTTACGTAGGGCAGTGACATCATTCACGCATGCACAAAAGATTCTGTCCGTGAGACATTTTCCACGAGCTTTCATCACTGCGCGGGGTTCCCTTCCGCTAGGTTGAACTTATCGGGTAGGTCTTCAGGTGTGGGTATTATCGGCGGATCCCATTCCAACTCCGCGTATCTTTCTATTTTAATTAACCGCGACCGCAACGTCGGAACAGTTCCTTCCGAATCTTGTCCACGCCTTCCTAATTATTCGCGTAACTGCTCCAGCGATAACCGGTATATCCATTCTATGGAACGTCGTTGTCAGAATCCATGATCTTTAGTACAAAGATTCAAATACGCCAATTAACCGTTGCTTAACGACAGTCACATAAATATCGAAACCCAAAATTTATTATTATGTGCTGTGATCCATCGAGGACGCAAATATTTGCCATTTCAGATTCGAATTTTATTTGGGAAGAAGCTCTCTGAGAGAAGCAAACAATAGGCCTTTTTCTTACGCGTCAACACGTGTGTCGATAATCGAACGCAAAAACACGCGTAAACACGATCGCGATCACCGAATTTCAAAACAGGCTAAACCGACGAAATCTTCCGCAGAACGCTCTGCGCATTACATGTACACGGGTCACGCTTGTGTGCGTATTCCTTTCACACGCGCTGGCAGCGGTCACAAAACGCATAACTTGCATCACTGCACTGGCCCTGCGCGGCCCGATAGTCGCAGTGAGCCGATTCTCTGAACATCTTTTGAATATGCATGCTATATGGATTCAGCCCTATTATAAGAAGCATTATATCGTCCAAGGCTTTTCTGCAAAGAAAAGCAGTTGATTTTTTCCGACATTTAGAAGGGAATATGTATAATTAAGGTCCATGCACAAAATAAATATGCCTATGATAAAGTTCATATCTGGCTTGACTCGTATTCAATTAGAAAATCATCAATTTAAAATAAAAAAATTAAACAGCAGATCCAAGGTCACCAATATAAAGAGCGGGATAAAGGAAAAAAAGAATTATGCCAGCATGTATTTCTTTCTAATGAATAAGTACATAGTGTTTTTGTTAAAAAAAATCAACAAATGTCTGATGTGCAAATATGATATTCACAGTATAAAAAACCGAGAATAATAAGAATATAAGAATAAGTCAAGGTAACAAGTCAAATGAAAAAATTGGGAACGATGAATAATGAAAGTCTAGATGCAGAAAAATTCTTCATCCGAATTTCCATTCTTCTTTTGAAAGAGATCCAAGAAATAAGAGTCGATTCAAGTGCTCACCCGTTGTTTGATTCCTCTCATTGCTCTTGATGTCACCAACCTCGGAAAATTTCCTTTCTGCTGGTACAGAGGTACTAATAATACTGATGTGTCGAACTGCCAGTTCGTATAGCGTTGGAAATGAGTGCTTTAAGGATTTCCAATATTGAAATGGATCATGGTGTCGAGCAATTACCGGTTGTTTTAAATATTGTCTTAATTCATGGGTAAGATGTTCATCGTTCGTACTTTCATCAGTACACTTTGCCACCAAATTGTCATGAACCTTCCAAAGACTATATTGACTAATTCCCTCAGGATTTCGTTGAACTGATCGTTTTTCCTCAATTTTTTTCACACTAATAATCGATTTTATTTCTCTATTGATTCGTTCCACAGCAGCAGCTGCTGCACGGACATTTTGAAAATAGATTCATTTGAATCGCGGATCAAGTATTGCAGGAATTGAGATAATCTTATTGTTTTCAACATCTTTAAATTTCTGTTGAATCGATGCAAGGAGTTTTGTCTGGAAAAGAATTCCGTCGTTTGTTGAAGGATTAATTTGTTCAATTGATAGTGTCATACAGTGAATGATTGGTATAATAACACTGCAAGTAGGATAGTTGCTGCCGCTGATTTCCTTGATGACACATTCAATTGGCTTCATGAGAGACACGACTTCCTGTAGGACTTCAATTTGGCTATGATTTAGCATATCTGGAATGTCTGTTCTTTTGCATTTCAAAGTAATTGCATGAACGTACTGTTCCAAAGCGAGAAATCTGTCTAACATGTAGAGAGTGGAATTCCAGCGAGTCGGAACATCGAGAATAAATTTCAATGCAGTTCCCTCTGTCTTCTCATCAAATATTTGTAACCGTTTTAACTCGTCTGAAGCCACAACACTTCTTTTGATAACCACAACAATTTTCTTGACTGTAGCAATAATATTGTTGATCTCTTGCATATTCTTTAATATTTTAGGTACAAGGTTAGACAAAAAATGTGCAAAACACCAGATACGTCTTTCAAGGCCTACGACATTATGTACAGCAGCTTTAATATTTGCTGCTCCATCACTGGTGATTGCCATAATTTTTTTTCGATCTAATTTAAAATCATCAATGACTGAATTGAGACACTCTGTGAGATACTCTCTTGTATGATTTGTATGCAGCGGAAAGACTTCCAAACATCCATTTTTCATAACAAGATCTTCAGACAGGTAATGAATGGTGACACCCAAATAGCTTTGGAAAGTACAGTCTGTTCAATTATCACACGTTAAAGTATAGGACAAAGCTTTTTCAAGAATGGACTTATAACATTCTTTTGCTTCAACATAGCGATTATCCATTAATTTAGTTAGAGTCTTTCGATCAGGTATATGATAAAGTGGGGCTACTATTTTCATCAAGAAATTGAAGCCTTCTCTATCAACCATGGATAGTGGTTTTTTATCCTTGGCGATCATAAACATTAATGCTGCAGAGTAATTCTGTTAGACTGTGCTCCTCCTTCTGAAATTGATAAACGAGCATTCGACCAATGTCGAATTGACGAATGTGCTTATTGATTGTTTGAAATTTGTATGAACCTGCGAAAGAATTCGTCCTCTCAAAGGCTTCGTCGATTCGGAATAACTTGCTCTGCTGAAACGAGTCATGAATTTTAGGCTAATATTTTTTTATTGTGTATTAGAAATCAATGTTGTTACCATTGATGCTAATTTTTTTCATTTGAGCGGCGGATCATCTCTAGCTGTCGATTCACTACTAGATTTAGATGTATCATCTCTGTTATTTTTTAATATGCCAGAGCACAATAACTAATGATTTCTGACCAAATGTGATTTTAAATTCGTTGTCCCACCACAATGCTTAACTTTAGCATTGCAAATGGTGCATACAACATATTGAGCATCCTTGTTTTCAAAATAAACCCATACAGGACTCTTTTTCCTGATGCTGTAAGTAATATAACTATGCTTATCAAATCGAAAAAAAAAACAATAAAAGATGAATTAATTGCAATTTTTACCCTGAATTATTCCCCTCTACAGCTAATTCTATTTCATTCACAAGATCTTTAGTTTTATCGACTTGTGGGTTGACAATTAATGCAGTTCTCTTGTATGCTGGTTCTATTTGAAATCTGGCATTAGAACATTCGTTGCTGGAAGATGGACCTGCTGATGATATATCATATGCTTCATGATGAGAGTTCACTGTATTGCATGACGTCACTAATTCTACGTCAGAATCATATGCATGAGAAACCCGGAGGCTTTTGTTCCTAGCAAGTGGTTGCTTTGGCATCATAACTCGTGTGCTATAATAAAATATGGAAGGAATTTGAAATTATAGAAAATGATTTGGAAATCCTATGCCAGTTGCAGTAATTATTCTGATAAACTTACTAATCAATATCATCAATCGATCGGTACAAAACATTGACAGCAGGGTTCCATTCTTTAACTCTTGGACTGTACATTTCTTGGATAAATTCACAAGTCACTTTGTCATCATCTGAAATTATCATTTCAATATTACATAACAATCAATTAAAAATATTTGATAACATGATATCAATTGTATTTATAAATTCATGAAAAAAGTATGTACCTTTCGATTGAAGATATTCAAATTTAGTCAATTCTCTTTTAGCAAAGGAAGGCTGTTCATTAATACGAAAATAAATCATATGTATCCTAGGATCTGTTGGATAAAAAGAAATGATAAATGAAACTAAATTTGACTTATCGAATTCAATCAAATTCGATAACGAGAGAGATATATATAAGTTCGATGATGAGTTGTTGAAGTTAGAATTTTCAAATTACTTCTGTAAACAGCCGATAACAGTTGTGTTCTGAAATTCACTGCCAGTACTGTAAATCTATAGTTACGTATAGTATTGATTTTCAATATTGACAGTGAGTTTTGGAACACAGCCAACATAAGAACGTTACGGCAGACATTAGAATTTTAACTATTTTTGTTTGAAATTTGAGGCTGCAGAAGCCCGTATCTAACTATCCATTCAGATTGAAATTTGACCAATCAGGACAAGGAAATTTTAGTTCCTTTTATCCTGATCGGTCAAATTTCAATCTTCAATACGTAGTCCGATATGGGGTGCGTTCCGTTTCATGCATAGAGCGCACAGGTACTGCAGGACGCATAGCATGAAATGTAGGGGCCGTTCCGTTTTTTCACCACACTTCATGCACTAACCATGCGCCTTTAGTAACGGAACAGATTTCGTGCAGTTCATGCAATATATATAAATAAACATGAAAGACAGAAATTTATAAAACATATAAAAGTGCTAAGCCATATTCTCAGAAATTTTTTTTTTATAGGTTAAGGTTACGTTTCAAAATGTCCTTTTTGAGGAAAATTTTACTCGATAGCCATTCCAAAACTTTTTTGAGCATTTTTGATCGGTCCCGAGCCGGGCTATCAAGTAAAATTTTTCTCGGTGAATACGTTTTGGAACGTAACCTAAGTTAAGAGAATCTTCAATAACCAACTTACTTTCTCCCAATATTTGCTTATGTTCTTCAGGCGATACAATAATTATTTTTAATACTATATAGTTAATAATATATAATTATTTAATTTTTAATTTTTAATATTATAATTAATAATTATTTAATTTTTCTGTAACAGAGCAAAGAACATTATAGTTAATTTTTTCATAATATATGCCTCTTAAAATACAACTAATAAAATCTTTAAAAAATGTATATAATAGTATAAATAAATAAATAATAGTATAAATGTATATATAGTCGACACCGTAGACTTTTGATAGCGATTCTACCACTAAAAAAGAAGACCTACAACAGAAAGAGACAAAAGGTCACATGCACTCTTTGGCCCATCTTAAGGTGAGTATACATCTACGAACGAACCGCGAATGCGAACGTCTTGTGAAAAGTCTTGAACGTCTTTCTCGCACGAATTGTCTTTGATGTACCGCCTCATGAGGGAATCGAGCCGAATGCGAATCGAACGTTCTGTTCGCATTCGCTTTGGCGTATATATCTGCCGAATGATAACAATGAACGTTTGCATTCGCTGTTCGTTCGGTGTTCGTTCACTAAGTGTATACCCACCTTTATGTGATACATTCAGTCAAATACTGT